GGCCGAGTCGAGCAGGTGAAACTCACGCCGGCGCTCGTAGCAGGCCCGGATGCCGCTGTCCCTCCACAGCCACTGCATGGCCACGGCGTGGCGCTTCTCGAACGTGGTCACTTTGTAGGGGTCCTGGCTCATGACCAGGCTGGCGTGGTGCTGAGGAGGGGGCTGGGCCAGTCAGGCAGCCTGTCCCGGGGGCCGCCCCTGCACCCCGCAAGCCCCCGCCTGTCCCAGGGCACCGCCCCTGCCCATCCACCCTCCTCTCCCGGGGCTGCCTGACCACCGACGGCTCCCTCTTCTGTCTTCCATCGCAGGCCACGGCACGGGCTGGGCGACCGGGGCCCAGAGCAGTGAAGCCCTCTGCCTCGTGCGTGGGAATAAAGCAAATGTGAGTCCCTCGAAACTCTTATTTTTTTTGAGAAAGCAGGATTTATTGAGAAGACAGAAAAGCTCCCACAGTGGGCGGGGACCCGAAGATCCTTGAAACTCTCAAAAGACAGGAGACTTCCCTGCTGAGACGAGGCGTGAGACAAGGATGCCTGTCCTCGCTATTTTTTATTTAGAGTCAGAGTCTCACCCCGTCGCCCAGGCTGGAGTGCAGGGGCACGCTCACGGCCACCGCAGCCTCGACTTCCTGGGCTCGGGCGATCCTCTCGCCTCAGCCTCCCGAGAAGCTGGAACTACAGCTACAGGCAGGTGCCACCACGCCCGGCTAATTTTTCAAAATTTATCGTTGAGACGAAGTTTTGCTGTGTTGCCCAGGCTGGTCTCAAACTCCTGGCCTCCAGCGATCCTCCCGCCTCGGCCTCCCAAAGTGCTGGGACGACAGGCATGAACGCCCATGCTCAGCCTACTTTTAAAGGGATCTAGGGCAACCCCCTGGGGTTCCCTCCCACTGTGGGAGCTTTTCTGTCCTCTCAATAAATCCTGCTTTCAAAAAAAGGGGGTAGGAGATCCATTTTCCCCCAAATTGATCTATAGACTCAACATGATCCTCACCAAAATCCCAGAGAGGGGTGCATGAGAAAGAAGAGTGACATGTTCTTTCTTTTTTTTTTTTTTTTGAGTCGGAATCTC